ATCTGGTCTGGTTGTCGTCCACCTCTAGACTGTAATCTTGTTCCAGAACCTGAATATTGTGTGCACATATGTTTTACAGACTGGCTTATGCAGAATGTTGGTTCCACAGAGATCCTATATCTTGGGGATCATCTTCAGTATTCGCAACCAAGACCCTAACAACAGATACAGCAGTATCGATCCGCTGCCTAAGTGTCATGGCGCCGTTGCTAGGCAGGAAAGCGGCGTAAATATTTTGGTTCGAAACCCCGCTTTTCCTCCAGCAAGTAGCATATTTAATCATCATATTTTCTGGTCAGGTCGAGTGCAGATAGAACCTAATTTTACTTCAGAATGACCACAGTTCTTCCCCAGAAGCCAGAAGGAACGTACACGTTCGCCAGCCAGCCCAGAGCTGTAGCACAGAGGAAGAAATATAGAGAGCCAATTGTACAAAATCCGTGAGTTTCTTGTTTCTTCATTTTCGTCATCATTTTGTTACTTTTCAAATAACTACAGTAAATGTCATAGACTAAATATAGAGAACGTCAACATTGTAATTCTGGCATATTTGGTAATGTGTCCGAGCGTGAGACCACCATGACAATTCAAGGATCTCACCCTGGATGGTAAACTGAGAGGTCAAATCCCAGATACCCTGTTTCAACCATCAAAACAGTTATATCTGGGGCATCAGTAATGACTAAACTAGCATTGTGATTACCTGCAGTCCTGTGTGGACACGGAGTATAACTGCGCCTCTTTATAATAATAGAAAAAAAAAGTTGAACATGTGTTAAAAATGTTATAGAGAAAGTTTTGACCCTACCTTCTAAATGGAAATATGCAGTTTATAAAGAATTACTGGTTTAAAAAAAAACATAACATAAAACATAGATAAACGTTCCAACTTGCCAAGTTGGTGACTATAAATCAATAATATAATGCTTTCAGTTAGTGGAAGTAATTTTTTAATACCCAGTGTTACTGCCTGACTAATTGGTTGGCTGGCTGACTGACTCGCTGTCTTGTCTACTGACTGACTGAGTGGCTGGATGGCTGGCTGACTGCCCGACTGTCTAATTGGCTGGCTGACTGACTGGCTGGCTAACTGACTGCATGACTATCTGCTTGGCTGGCTGACTGTATAATTGGCAGGCTGACTGACTGGCTGGCTGACTAACAGGCTGTCTAACTGACTGCCTGACTGTCTAATAAGCTGGCTGACTGACTGACTAACTGTCTAATTGGCTGGCTGACTGACTGGACTGGCTGGCTTACTGACTGTCTAATTGGCTGGCTGGCTGGCTAACTGACTGCCTGACTGTCTATTTGGCTGGCTGACTGAATGACTCACTGGACTAGCTAGCTGACTGACTGTGTTACTGTCTAACTGACTACATGATTGATTAAATGATCAAATGATTCTTATGGATGCCAGTCTAACAAAACAAATCCCAGATACCCCTGTTCTACCTCCTGGGAAGTTTTGTTAGATCACCTGTGTACACCAAGTATTATCCCAGTATACTATGCTGTCCTTTATGGGCAAGAACATACTGAAGTTAGGCACTTGATGATGATGATAATGATGATGATGTTGTAAATTAAAATAAAGATAACATTTGTGTGTGTTTGTGGGTCAAATAGCCTTTTTGGGATCTGCCTATACTTTTAAAGCAATCAGCTAGTTATGGATGATGACACTGGTATCACGCTGGCTGCCATTACATTCAGATACAGTTGTCTGGTACCTATTGGGTAGACTCTCTGAAACCATCAGTTAACTGGTGCCGTCTCCACAATAAAAGTTGGCTGTAGTTGATCTCCAAAACTCTATCACTTTTCTTGGTAGTGCACTCTGTCAGACTGCTCTTCATCATCTCTTGATGCTGTCATGCATCTGGAACCACGTGGACCAATGGCAGGTATTTGCTAAAACACTGAGTAACAATAATGGGTGCAGATTCATAATGCCTGTGATCCACCAATGATGTGGGCATTGAAAAAAGTCCCTATCTCAAAAAGAAATAATGTCAAGGGAGATAAATGATAAATTGTTATTTACTGATTGAAGAACAGGTTTTTGTGATCTGAAGATCTCTTTTGGCAGAACCTGTCTTAAGAAAAAAACAATTAATATAATGCTGGCATTTTACTACCGAACAAGTATAACCCATTATGTTTGCTATCATGACATATCCACTCATAATCAAAGAGTTTTTTGGGGCAATTTTTGCAAATATTTCTGAAGATTGATTACATAACTGCGGCTCCATGGCTTTAAGATTATTTAATGCCTCAATGTCAGTTCATTAAGTACTTCTACATGCATTATGATAGTCATTACTGTTAAATTAAAATAAATAATTTCTCCATTTGGATTATGCAGGCGCCATTGTCTCTGTGGGTAAGAGTATTTCTGCTGAATTGTTTATTTAAAATTATAAATTGATTTTCCCATGTTTTTGTTCTTTTGAGTTATTGATCATTCCAAATTGATCAAATTTGGAAGAAAAAAGCAACAACAACAACAAACAACAAAAAAAACAAAAAAAAAACAAAACAATAGTTGCAGTGCTGAAAATGTCAAAAGAAAGGTTAACATGAGACCCAATGAAATGTGTAATTTGGTTTCTGCTAATAAAAAGCATAAGTAAATTACCCTCTCCCATGTCTTGGTAAATGATAGTAGGTTCATATTTTTGTAGACAAATTGGTCAGTATCGAGCTGACCACAAGTACACAGTTTATTGCCTGGTATATTTTGTCATGAGGACCAACTGGCTGAACCTTTGAGAACAATGGGCTTTTTTTGGGAGACCAGGTTTGAATCCTCAGTGAGGTGTTGAACTGCTTCTCTTGGGGCAAAAAAAAACAACAACTCAACTTACACAGTCTGCAGCGACTGCGCTAGCCATATGTGTGGCTGTGAATTTTTAGGCTCAAGACCTTTCTGTCCAACACCACCCCAGAAAGTAGTAAAAACAGACAGTAAAGATAGTTCTAGAGATATTTTCCTTGTAGGCAAAAAGGACAGGATTGTGAACTTATGTTTACCGTGGGAAAACAAGCAGTTTTGTTTCACTGTGGTAGATTTTTGTATTATTTTGTATCAGTTGGAAGGATTAATTTATTTGCTTCATTTTACTCAACTTTCATGTGGGTTCAGCTGCTTTATTGTTGGGGGTGGGATGGGGGGTGATGTTAGAAAAAAATAAATCGCTCTCCTCCTAACAAGCAGGTCACAAAAGTCGGCCAGTAAAAGGTATTTCCTTCAAGTCGGATTGCATCTGCACAATAGGGGAAACAAATCAGCATACATATAAGCTAGTTCTGTAAAACGAGTGTGCTTGCAAAACTTTTAAAACAAACTGTCAGAACTTTCTGCCAGAGTTTACAGCTGGTGAACACTAAGCAGAAGAAGAAAAAGAAGAGACTGCAGAATGTACTGGACGAGATATTGATGAGACATTGACGAGATATTGATGAGACATTGAAGAGATATTGATGAGATATTAATGAGACATTGAAGAGACATTGAAGAGATATTGACGAGTCATTGACAAGATATTGACGAGACATTGACAAGATATTGATGAGACATTGACGAGACATTGACGAGATAAGATGAGACATATAAACAATAAAAGTTAAGTTATAGGACCTTTTTTTATGCTATAAGCACATGCAGCATATAATGCTCATATTTTATAGACAAGTCAGTTCTTAAAGGTTAATGTGGTCAACAAACATTTGTTACCTTTACTTCCCATGACTTAACTTGGAACTCATTTTAGTCTGTATCAACAAACAAAGTGATGACAAAAGTGATGACTGTAGTCAAGCTGATTGCAAGAAATGCAAAATATATCACTTTATTTGACTTAAAAGCTCAACGAAGTGAATTGAAAAGACGTACACAAACACAGACAAATGCTTTGACCAAAGCCTTTATCAATAGAGTACTAAACACAGCATAAACCGTGACTGGAAAATTCAATGAACAAAACAACAGAGCTAATAAAAAATTAGCGCATAATATTTAGCATGGATCAACATATGCCAACTACTTATTTTATCATGGAAAATCTGTTGTTATAAAGCATCTTCCCTGTAGCAACATACGGATGTGAGTCATTGACTGTCTCCCAGTCCTTAAAAAAGAGGATAAAGGCTTTTAGCTGAAATGCTATAGAAAGATTCTCAGAATATCTTGGACAAAGAAGAAGAGAAATACTGACATCTTGAAAGATCTGAACATCAAGGAAGATTAGCTAGTAAACATTATTCTGTCTCGGAAGCTGAAATATTTTGATCATATCAAACGCCACGACGGATTAGAAAAAATAATAGCAGAAGGCATGGTACCAGGAAGGAGGGGCAGGGGCTGACCAACATGAAGATGGGCACAGGATATAAGTGACTCTTTAAGTCTGAAAGTAAATGAGGCAGGAGAGCTGGCGAGAGACCGAGTTTCTTTCAGGCAGACTGTGATGAGAGCGACGTTCTGCAAAGGACCTGCTACATGATGATAATGATGTTGTTATAAAGCACAATTTTGAAATCCAAAGAGTCAAAGAACCAGCAGTCAGAGACACAAGTGACTATTTATAAAGAAAACTAATAATCTGGTATGAACCTATCATGTATGTCAAAAGAGGTGACTAAGAAAGATTAAAATGAAACTGGTTTGATCATTTTGTTGAATATATCAGTTGCAAATTTCAGCAAATCATGAACATGTCTTCAGTTGGCTGGCAGTGAGTTGACTGAGGGCCATTGCTACATTGGGAGATTTAAAAAAATAGAAGAATAAGAAGAAGAGTATACCTTACTTGTCTTATTTGTAAAAAATAATAGTTCAAGCCTGGAATGGACCCAGATCTGCATGAGCCTGAGGCAAACATTCTACCTGCTAGCCTACTTCACCACTTGCCTAGTTTGTGTTATCGACTTATAATGATTTCACCACCTACTCTGATACAACATTAACTTTTGAATAAAATTAATATTTTCAGAGATGGCCCCATACAATATGGCAACATTATGTATGACAGAAGAGTGGTGCGAGGAAACACATATGCCCAGCACACCCTTCCAGTGGTATGAGTTTTCATGAAAATCATCATGTCATTAAAATGGTCATTATCTTCATCATCATCACATACATCTTGATTTCAAAGTCTCTGGGCATAACCCTGTAAGTACTTGCACATATGTGGTGAACAGGAAGTACTCCGGTGGTAAATCCCTTGGCCTGGCAAATGATTCTACAATCAAGTCCTTTGTGTTTGACCAAAAAAAGCATTAAGTAATGATCTCCGTGGTAACAAGGTCCATATGTACCTAGGACACAAAATAACAGATCTAGAGGAGACATCTTCGATTTAAAAAAACACAAAAAACTCTTCACCCAAGATGGACTAACATGCTGATGAGCTGAACTGCTGTGGGAGATGCTGTTGCAAGGGCAAATGTCTGTTAAGCAGTTAGAGCAGCACCAGGCAATATAAACTTCTTTAGAAGATTCCCCTGCCCCAGCTCCATCAAGCAAACACTACTAGGGTTACTGTCCACTTGCAGCAAAATAATCCTGTTGAGGCACTTTCTACTTGTGTCTCAATAAATGTGAAGATTCAGTATTGATTGTGCACATCCTGCAGATTTTAAAGCTTGAAAAAAAAGAGAAAAACATCTCTGCAGAACAGTCTCCTCTAGATTTGCCCCACTTTACTGTTTGTATTTTCCCCAGAAACCACATTCACACTTCCATTAGATGTTTCTTGGCTTGTCCACTTATTACCTATGTTGCATAAGCTTACAGAGACCTGCAGTAGTGTAGTTGCTGGATGCTTTTCTTCTGGCCTGAAGATCTAAGGTTCACATCTACATTGAATTGACCTTGGCTCCCAGGTCAACCCAGTCCTGAAAGTAAAGGCGGCCAGCATGATGTTGACCAGACAACCTACTGAGTGCCAGTTGGTCTAAAAATATGGATCTAGCACTACATCCCAGATGCATCAAAAGGCATGAAAAGGGTCTTTACTTACTTACGTGCCTGCAACAGGAAAGATTATAAATAGCACTTTCAGGTGTTTTTATTTATTTCAGTCTTGTTAAAGGCTACAAGTGTTATCCGTGTTCTTCTAGCATATTTTCTTTATCCTCCAATGGAGTCTAGCCCATCAGTCAACCAAGTTATATTATTCTTTGTTATCACATACAGCTCATTTCATGCCCTCATCCATATTTTTCTTTACCTCATACTCCAATTCTTTTCTCTGTGTCTAAAAAAAATTTCCTCTTATTTCTTTCACCCTGTGGGTTTCCCACTACAAGGTTGTTCTAGTTATATTGTTTTTTCAGTGTATGCCCTATCCAACGCCAGTGTCTTTTCCTCAACTCTAGCTACAAGTGAATTTGTTAAGTTCTTTTTCAAAGTTCTACAGTAGTTATTCTGTAATATCATGTAAGTCTCTATATTGTGTACACGTGCCGGTTAATGAATTTGTGTCGTTTATTAGTAACTGTTTTAGTTGCACTTCCCCCACAAGTGCTAGGGTTTGATTTCCATGAAAGAAAAGCTTTTTTTAAAAAAAAAAAGTATCTCTTGTGGTTACAAAAGACAGCAGTGGGTAACTATAGCCAACCTTCAGCGTGAAGATGGCATAGAATTGAATTTTTAACGGTGCTGATACAAACAATGTTTACCCAATGTAAATTTCAATAATTCAGGCACAAACAATACATTGCAAAATGTATTGCCTGGAAGGAGCATTATTACTAGATAGTTACATCAACATACAACAAAGCAAAGGTAGCTAAATACACTTTTCCACACCCTTGGGTTATTGGATAGGAAGTGCTAGATCTATATTGTACAGACTAATCGGAACTCTCTAGATAATGTGGTCAACATCTGGCTGGTCACCGCTTACTTCTGGTACCCATATTACTCGACCTGGGAGCCAGGGTAATTTTTTAGAAGAATCTGACTTGATTTAGATTTGAATCCATGACCTTTAGGCCCCCTATGGCAGCCCACACACAAAATTCTCTCCACAAACTTTGCACAAATGACAGCGTCTCTAGTTACACTATACATCCCACCCCTAGAGCGTACTGACACAGCTGTTATTTGGTAACAGTATTCTTTAATTTTATGACATTTCTTTATTTGGTGTCATACAGTCCGCTCAACCAGATCCTCTTGAGATCCAGCGACAGCAAGAGAGCAGACGCCGAGCCATTGCCAGAAAAAGGGCTAGAGATCAGTTCCGCCCCAAATCCCCAGAGCCTGTTCAAGGACGCAAGCACATTGATGTGCAGACGGAGCTGTACCTTGAAGAGTTGAGTGACCGGGTGGAGGAAGCAGACCAGGAGTGCCAGACCGATGCCTTTCTGGATCGTCCTCCGTCCCCATTATTCATTCCAGCCAAAACTGGAGTGGATGTGGCTTCACAGATCTATGAAGGGGATGTAAGTTGAGAAGTTTTGTGCTGTGTTGACGTCTTCTTTTTTCTTTGTCTTGTTCATTTATTCTTCTTGTCACTTTATCTTATTATTCCTTTCTTGTTTTTCTTGTTTTTGTTCATTTTCCTGCAAGTTGAAAAAAAACAAAACATTTAGTCCCAAACAGGTGTAAATTTAACTTGTTATATCAATAGAAAGTGTCACTTTAACCAATAGATGTTTAAGTCTGAAGGAAATAAAATAATAACGTCATGAGGCAAAGAGAGGAGTTGAAAAAACCCACTTATGATGCACAAATTGGTTAATCAAACAACTGGATGGGACACAAGGAGTTAAAAAAGGTATATTATATAAACAGAAATGCATGTTTTCCTTTACTGAAAGAGTAAATAGCCACCATAATCATCATCATCATCGCCAAAATCACCATTGTAATCCTCAATCATTTAGTAGATCCTGATTAAAATATATATATATATATATATATATATATATATGTTCAGCATATTTTTGCAATTAAAAAAGTGAATAAAATGTAGTGTCTTTTCTAAAACAAAATGTTTTACTTTTTCCCCCAGTTGTTTGACTTTGACATTGAGGTCAAACCAATACTGGAGGTTCTGGTGGGCAAGACTGTCGAGCAGGCCCTGCTAGAGGTCATGGAAGAGGAGGAGCTGGCCAACCTGCGGCAGCAACAACGGACTTACGAAGAGCTGCGAAATGCTGAACTTGTGGAGCAACAGCGGTTGGAAGAACAGGAAAGAAGACATCGAGAAGAAAAAGTAATTGGAGGGTGGTATATTTTTTGTTTGTTTGGGAAGAATCACTTTAACTGACCTTCGATATATCCATCTGAGAAGGCAGATCTCTGCAACAAATGACTGAAGAAGTTGGATGTGTTTGCCAAAAGGTGAATATGTTGCATCTATGCTGTAAACAGGTACAGTGCAGTTACTGCAATTACATGCTTGGACAAAGAAGAAGTAGAAGAGTAGAAAAATGAAATAGAAGAAAAAGAAAATTAAATAGCGATGATAATAATAAAAATAATAATATAAGAAGACAAAGATGATGGTGATGAAGAAAACCAAGATGTAGAAGAAGAGGAGGAGAAGAAGAAGAAGAGAAGAAGAAGAAGAAGAAGAAGAAGAAGAAGAAGAAAATAAGAAAAAGAAAAGAATAAGGAAGAAAGTAAAAAGTAGAAGACAAAAGAAGAAGAAGGAAGGAAGGAAAGTACAAGAAGTAGAAAAAAAAAAAGAAGAAAAAAAAAAAAGAAGAAGTAGAAAAAGAAGAAGAAGAAAAAGAAGGAAGGAAGAAAATAAGTAGAAGAAAAAGAAGAAGAAGAGAAAGAAGAAGCAGAAGAAGAAGAAAAAGAAGAAGATTTGCATCATGTACAGTTAAATAGCAACTTTATAGCACTTGAAACATTCATACAAGTGCTCTATCCTCATCAGCAAGTGCATAGCTCTAGTTTTGATGGTACTGGTAGCGGTCTGACTGCATGTTTGTCTTGCCTTTCCATTGAGAGTTGAGTGTCGGCCAGATCCCTTAGTGATTTCCCCCATCCCTTTTTGAGTGCACTGTTCTCTTCCAACTGTGATGATCTATTTGTATCTGTGCATGATTCACCCACCACAAAAAAACTTGATAACATTTTGCTTTTCATGCATCAGTTTACCTTTTAGTTGTACAAAACCAGCCAGTCTGTTTACCTGTTCATTATCCAACACACCTGGATGTCGTACAGAAAATATCCAAAGAGTGCTACCTACCTGGAACCTCAGAAGTGGAGTTAGCCGCTGCTTCTAGAGCACTAGCATGGATATCCGAGCAAACAGCCACACATGCAGTAATTGTATCAGACTTCATGAACACGCTTTAGAAGATAGCAACAGGCAGAATGCACTCTGAATGGGTAGAAAGCATTTGAAAATCGCACTTAACCCCCCTCACCTGAATCTACACACCTGGTCATGCTGGCGTAAAGGGTAATGGCAAGCAGTGCACCAACGCATATGGGAAGAAGCATAGACAGATCAGATATCGTCAACACTGTATGGAAAGGGCTGGTGAATAATGATGAATCTCTGACACTAACATGATTACGTGACATGGGAGTAAAGCATGGTGAAGCACATCTATGCCGGGTTTAAGGCTTTAAGACATTATAATCAACTTTTCATGGGAACAATTAGTAGAAGTATTTTGAAGTAGCTGCTACATTGGAGGACTGAGCACGCATGGGAATGCCCTATGTGAAGTGACGTCGATTGTGATAATATAACATAATATAACATTACTTCTAAAGTGGTGCTTGCCACTCTGCACAGAGAGTGCCTGTCTCCACTATCTCAATAAAATGCTTTTCAAAAACTGACTGGGCCCCAAGGTCAACCCAGCCTAAATTGGGTTCTGGGAAATTATCTGAGAAGTAAATGTAGTTGATGTAATGTTGACCGATCACCCATCAAGTGCCGATTGTTTTGTAAAAATATAATTCCAGCATTGTATGTCTACATTGTTATTGGTGTGAAGAAGGTTCTTCTCTACTACTGTGTTTTCTTCCATGACAATATGATCTTCCCTGTCCCTGCAGGAGAGAAGGATGAAACAGCAGCGAGAAATTTTAAGAAAAGAGAAAGAAACAGCAGAGAAGATTGCTGCTCGTGCCTTTGCGCAAAGCTACCTGTCAGATCTTGTGCCATCTGTGTTTGGAACTCTGGCCGACAACGGCTATTTCTATGATCCAGTTGAAAGAGGTATGAATTAAATTTCTATGTTGTAATAGTTATAACCTTTTTTTTTTTGTCTGGTAGATATTATAAATTTTATTTTCTACCTTGTAATTATTATAAACTTTGTTTTTGAATTGTGGGTAAGATGGTCTGTTTCCTTCCTCATCAAATTTCCCTCCTAGACATTTAAATATTTCTATGAGGCTGGGACTTCCTCTGCCTTTCTTGCACAATATTTTCCTAAAATTACCCCACCAGGACATCACACAGGCGATAAACACCCGATGACACAAAGTGCAACCATGTGGATGAGGATCACCGTGGAGAGGTCCCAGAAACCGCGTTCAGACAATTGGCCTTACTTATGGCCTGCCATATATTGCGGCCCCTGGCAAAAGCCAGGGTGGGGCTTCAAATAACTAAAAAAATTTCGTCCTAAAAAGGACGAAATTGGATATATTTATTTAAGTATTAGGAGACACCACTGCATTATTTTGAGAATGGTATTAGCATTCTGTTCATAAAAAAAAAAAAAAAAAAAAATGAGAAATAAAGAGATTATGGAGGCTTGGACACCCAAAAGAACCCTAAAACAAACATTGATGAAAGAGACTAAAGGTAATGGGCTGGACTCCATCTTTGACATTGAACTGATTGCACAGGATAGAAGTGAATAGAGGAATAAACGGGGAACTCTATGTGACATACAGTGGCACAGCAGGATAATGATAATGATGATTATGATGTGTTGAGCATTGTATCACTGGTATCAAGAGTTATAAAACAGAGAAGATGGAACTGTTGGGCACAACCTGAAAAGATCATCCCGGTCTAAAGAGAATGGTACAGTAAGGAGTGACCAGACAGCTAGGAGTGACCAGAGAATGGTACAGTGAGGAGTGACCAGAGAATGGTATAGCGAGGAGTAACCAGAGAATGGTATAGCGAGGAGTGACCAGAGAATGGTACAACAAGGAGTGACCAGAGAATGGTATAGCGAGGAGTGACCAGATAATGGTACAGCAATGAGTGACAAGAGAATGGTACAGTGAGGAGTGACCAGAAAATGGTATAGCGAGGAGTGACCAGAGAATGGTACAGCGAGTAGTGACCAGAGAATGGTACAGTGAGGAGAGACCAGAGAATGGTACAGCGAGAAGTTACCAGAGAATGGTAAAGCAAGGAGTAACCAGATAATGGTACAGCAAGCAGTGATCAGTGAATGGTACAGCAAGAAGGGACCAGAAAATGGTACAGCAAGGAGTGACCAGAGAATGGTACAGCGAGGAGTGACCAGAGAATGGTATAGCGAGGAGTGACCAGAGAATGGTATAGCGAGGAGTGACCAGAGAATGGTACAGCGAGGAGTGACTAGAGAATGGTATAGCTAGGAGTGACCAGAGAATGGTACAGCGAGGAGTGACAAGAGAATGGTACAGCGAGGAGTGACCAGAGAATTGTACAGGGAGGAGTGACCAGAGAATGGTACAGCGAGGAGTGACCAGAGAATTGTACAGCGAGGAGTGACTAGAGAATGGTACAGCGAGGAGTGACCAGAGAATGGTACAACGAGGAGTGACCAGAGAATGGTACAACGAGGAGTGACCAGAGGATGGTACAGCGAGGAGTGACCAGAGAATGGTACAGCGAGGAGTGACCAGAGAATGGTACAGCAAGGAGTGATCAGAGAATGGTATAGCGAGGAGTGACAAGAGGATGGTACAGTGAGGAGTGACCAGAGAATGGTAAAGCAAGGAGAGACCAGAGAATGGTAAAGCAAGGAGTGACCAGAGAATGGTACAGCTAGGAGTGACCAGAGAATGGTACAGCTAGGATTAACCAGTGAATGGTAAAGCAAGGAGTGACCAGAGAATGGTACAGCAAGGAGTGACCAAAGAATGGTACAGCTAGGAGTAACCAGTGAATGGTACAGCAAGGAGTGACAAGAGAATGGTAAAGCAAGGAGAGACCAGAGAATGGTACAGCAAGGAGTGATCAGAGAATGGTACAGCAAGGAGTGATCAGAGAATGGTACAGCAAGGAGTGATCAGAGAATGGTACAGGGAGGAGTGACCAGAGAATGGTACAACGAGGAGTGACCAGAGAATGGTACAGCAAGGAATGACCAGGAAATCTGGCCATCGCTCACCACTCAAGGGAGAAATGAGATGAATAGACAATGACACTCTTACTAGCACCATCAGAACTAGAACTCTGCACTTGCTGCTAAAGGTTTGGATGGAGTACTTATGCAAATGTCCCTAGTGCTATTTTGTCAGTTATTAACTCACAACATCCTGAGAAGACAAAAGCAGAGAATCACCAAACAAGCACTGAAATGGGAAACAAAGGTTTGAGGAAGTTAGTACTTCAAGACAAACCCTACAGTGATAATTGCTTTGAGAGACCAAAGTTGCTGGATGACAATTGCTGAGAGAGGCCAAAGTTGCTGGATGACAATTGCTGAGAGAGGCCAAAGTTGCTGGATGACAATTGCTGAGAGAGACCAAAGTTGCTGGATGACAATTGCTGAGAGAGGCCAAAGTTGCTGGATGACAATTACTGAGAGAGACCAAAGTTGCTGGATGACAATTGCTGAGAGAGGCCAAAGTTGCTGGATGACAATTGCTGAGAGAGACCAAAGTTGCTGGATGACAATTGCTGAGAGAGGCCAAAGTTGCTGGGTGACAATTGCTGAGAGAGACCAAAGTTGCTGGATGACAATTGCTGAGAGAGACCAAAGTTGCTGGATGACAATTGCTGAGAGAGGCCAAAGTTGCTGGATGACAATTGCTGAGAGAGACCAAAGTTGCTGGATGACAATTGCTGAGAGAGACCAAAGTTGCTGGATGACAATTGCTGAGAGAGACCAAAGTTGCTGGATGACAATTGCTGAGAGAGGCCAAAGTTGCTGGATGACAATTGCTGAGAGAGGCCAAAGTTGCTGGATGACAATTGCTGAGAGAGGCCAAAGTTGCTGGATGACAATTGCTGAGAGTGGCCAAAGTTGCTGGATGACAATTGCTGAGAGTGGCCAAAGTTGCTGGATGACAATTGCTGAGAGTGGCCAAAGTTGCTGGATGACAATTGCTGAGAGAGGCCAAAGTTGCTGGATGACAATTGCTGAGAGAGGCCAAAGTTGCTGGATGACAATTGCTGAGAGAGGCCAAAGCTGCTGGATGACAATTGCTGAGAGAGGCCAAAGTTGCTGGATGACAATTGCTGAGAGAGGCCAAAGTTGCTGGATGACAATTGCTGAGAGTGGCCAAAGTTGCTGGATGACAATTGCTGAGAGAGGCCAAAGTTGCTGGATGACGATTGCTGAGAGAGGCCACAGTTGCTGGATGACAATTGCTGAGAGAGACCAAAGTTGCTGGATGACAATTGCTGAGAGAGGCCAAAGTTGCTGGATGACAATTGCTGAGAGAGGCCAAAGTTGCTGGATGACAATTGCTGAGAGAGACCAATGTTGCTGGATGACAATTGCTGAGAGAGACCAAAGTTGCTGGATGACAATCGCTGAGAGAGACCAAAGTTGCTGGATGACAATTGCTGAGAGAGGCCATAGCTGCTGGACAGGATTCTATCTGTGATATCAAAAACATTGCAGAGGATGGAAAGACATTGAAAAATAAACCATAAGCCCTATGTGACATCTAGATGCTCGCGTGCGGATAGGAAGGTCCTGGGATTGCTCCCTGGCGGAACCGGATAAAAAAAAAATGACCTTGACTCCCAGGTCAACCCAGCCTTGAGTGGGTACCATGTGAAGTTCCGGGAAGTAAAGGCGGCTGGCGTGATGCTGACCACATCACCCATCTTGTGCCGATTGTTCTATAAAAATATAGGTCTAGCCATATATGCCTTATACGCCTAAAGGCGTGGAAAAGGGATCTTTACTTTTTATTTTTACCTTTTTTTGTGTGCCTATGCCACATATACGTAATGGCACGACAGGCTGATGATGATGATGATTGGCATTGTACTGGTAATGGCTAAAATTATCTTCAATAAGATGTGGAAATTATCGACAACTAGAGAGATAAACTCCACGTTAGAAATGAGAATAATCATTATGTATACTCAGCCCTGCTGTGTGGTGCAGAAAATTGTACAATGAACAGTCAGATAGAAAATCGAATTGTCTCTGGAAATGTGGATATACAAATGAATAGGTCATATGTCATGGGATCAAAAACAGTCAAACACAGAGGTTCTGGAAAGACTGCAAATGAAAAGAGAATTATTGAAGAAATGAAAAAAAAAAGGATCAACTGAAATAGTTTGGTCACATTAAATGACACAATACACTTCTAAAAACCACACTAACAGGAAAGGTCAAGGGCAAGAGAGCAAGAGTTTGGCAGTGTTACAATTGGGAGGGCAACATCAAGAGATGGATAAACAGCAGTCTGAGAGAGCGTACAACCAAGAAAAGGGACAGAGAGTGTTGGAAATCCATTGCAGCCAACCTTCATTGTGGAGATTGATAGACTGAGTGTACTGTTCAGAAAGCAAGTACCAATTACTGATCCTAAAATTGCTGAGTAAAAACATGAACAATCAATAAATGCAGAGGTTGGTTTGTGATGTCCTACAGAGTATGTCTTCTTCTTCTGCATTCACCCTTTGTGGTTTACAGCTAGAGTACATTATCTGCACTCTTTCAACCCAGCACAACCAGTTTCAGCAAACCTCCATCTATGTATGTAAGTTGTACCCCACCAGGACATCACACAAAGTGATAAAGCCCGGTGACACAAAGTGCCAGCATGCAGATGAGGATCACCCGCGGAGACGTTCCAGAAACCTTGTTCAGCCGTTAGGCCTTATTTATGACCTGGCTATACTTAGGGCCCCCGGCAAAAGCCAGGGTGGGGCTTCAAATTACGAAAAATTTGCATCCCACATGGGTACGGCAAACCCTTGGTTAGTTGCCTTTTATGGCAAGCTTGCTAAGTGACTGTGGATGTGTTCTCCCCCCCCCCTCCCCCGCCCCCCCCCCCCACCTTCCAGTATAGGACCCTGAAACTCACACGAGGGTAGAGGATGTACAACTAACTTACTTTACATTAAGTTAAATATTAACTTAACAGAAGCGTAATATTTTGGGTTATTTCCCTTGCCACAGATGTGGCAAAAGCTCTACAAAAGTGTAATATTTTGGGTCATTTCCCTTGCCACAGATGTGGAGCAGGGATTCATTCCTTGGCTGATGGAGCAAGTCAGCACAGAACTGAACAGGTCTGAACTGGGCCGCCTGGTGCTTGATGGAATAATCCGTGATGTGGTGGTCCGTCGAATTAACCTTTTTAACACCATCAACCAGGCAGAAGCTGAATTTGAAGGGGAACCTGAGGCAATGAAGTCGATGGCGGAACATTTAGAAATGGGGGTAAGTTATTGAGTTAATCAGTGCTGTTTTGCAAAGAGTTTGTTAAAGTTAAAGTCTGCTGTTGATCCTGTCATCCCTTCGTGGGATGAAATTTTTCATTATTTGAAGCCTTACTCTGGCTCTTGCTAGGGGCCGCAATATAGCCCGGCAATATATATGGTCTAATGGCTGAATGCTGTTTCTGGGACCTCTCCACGGGTGATCCTCATCCACATGGTGCACTTTGTGTCATCTGGTGTTTATCGCTTGTGTGATGTCCTGGTGGGGTAAAAGAAGATAGATAGATAGAAAGTCCGTTTTCGATCAGTTCATTGACTTTGCTCTTGCCAGGGGCCGCAATATAGCCCGGCTATAAATATGGTCTAATGGCTGAACGCGGTTTCTGGGACCTCACCATGGGTGATCCTCATCCACGTGGTGGCACTTTGTGTCATCGGGTGTTTATCGCTTGTGTAATGTCCTGGTGGGGTAAAAGAAGATAGATAGATAGAAAGTCCGTTTTTGATCAGTTCAATGACCTTGCCCCCTTCCCCCTCTCCCTGTCCTCTGATGCTATCTAAAGGTTTACCATCCTATCCTGAGATTAATAAATCACAGTCTGGATGGCATACACACAGATTATCCTTAGTGCACACCAGATAAGTCAATTAGTGCTCAGATCCCATCTTCAGTGTATCCCTCAGCGTGTGGTGACTACTCTTCTTTGGCTACCTGTATAGAGTTCATGTTTGGCAACACCTCTTTTGACATAAAGTTCTTGTAGTCTTTTGAGTGTTGCAGATTCAATGTTGGCTCTTAAATCATCTTCTTGTTTGGCCTCCTCAAGAGGATTGAGAATGTCAGCCAGGTCCATTGCTTTTCATGTGCCTTCGATGGCCCTGCCAGCAAGCCAGTCCGCTCATTCATTCCCTCTTACACCAGAGTGTTCTGGTCCAGAAATGAAACTAATTCCTATCAGATGAGATTTCCTCAACAACTCCAACAATTTTCTTCAAATCCATTCCATCTCAAACATCTTAAGCATGCTCATGGAATCACTTAGGCCAACAAGGCAGATCCTAGATACTGCATAGACCAACAAGGTAGATCCTAGATACCACATAGACCAACAAGGCAGATACAAGATACCACATAGACCAACAAGGCAGATCCTAGATACCACATAGACCAACAAGGCAGATCCTAGATACCACATAGACCAACAAGGCAGATCCTAGAGACCCCATTCAGTCTCCAAAGTTATAATGAGGCCACCCATAATGGCTACCCCAGCCAGGTGTCATCTGCAGTCACATGCAGGCAAAGAGAATGATTTGTCTCTTTCTGTTCTGTGTTTGAAAGAAGACATTTTAAAGTCTCTTTTTTCCTGCTTTATACACTTTTGTTTTCAAGATGGCAGTGAGTGGCTATGTTAGTTTTGGGAAGCTGTGATTTTTCTCGGGTGCTGTGTTTCCTTATCATTGACTGCTTTAAGGTAGGCTGCATTATGTGTTTCATAGAAGCAGCATGTATTGTAATTAATCTGTGTTGAAGTGGGAGTACAGAATTTGCTGCAAAGACGGACCTTGTTAACAGGGGAATGGAATGCAACTGTTTAGAGAGCAAAGTAAAAAAAAAAGCTGTCCCTAGAAATGGTATATGTTAACCATTTCTTCTGTCCAGCAGTTATCTCAGACACATTGCGGACAGGTCCACTTTATAGAAGCTTAAGAGACCTTGTTTATGACCCACACAGAGACTGCTGAAAAAACAGTTTCTGTTGTTTGTGATACAGTACATTAAAGGCTGCCTTGTTTCTTCCTGCCTTATGTTTGAAAGAGTGTGTTAATTTCCCTCTGTAGTCCTTCTCCTGTATATTTGAAAGAGTGTGTTAATTTCCCTCTGTAGTCCTTCTCCTGTATATTTGAAAGAGTTTTAATTTCCCTCTCTAGTCCTTCTCCTGTATGTTTGAAAGAGTGTGTTAATTTCCCTCTGTAGTTCTTCTCCTGTACACAGGAGAAAGAGTGTGTTAATTTCCCTCTGTAGTCCTTCTCCTGTATGTTTGAAAGAGTGTTAATTTCCCTCTGTAGTCAGTTCTTTCTTGTTTCTTTCTTTTGTATTAAAAAAATTACATTAGAGTCTTTCATGCCTATTTCTGCCATATGTTTGGAAGAAGGTGTTAAAACTGCGCTTTGCAAAAACCAGTAAAAAAAAAAAAACAGTACCTCTCTTTTTGGGAGCAAGTGAATAAGGCAGAAGCATGTGTAGATGATTATAGTGTGTGGAGAAAATGGTGTGGCAGGAAGTGGCCAGGGAATCTGGCTGACGATAGGCACTCAAGAAGAAAGGCAAGACTGCTACTGATACCATTGGAATTGGAACTCTTTGCTGGCCACTGATGGAGTTGAGAATGGAGTTCCAAAGGAAATGTCATGAGGGCCATCTTGACCAATTCAGTTGAACTCAGCCGCCTACGGGACTAGATTTACCATTTCTTTCAATTACCTTACTAGGATTTGAACCTATCATGTCTGTGTACAACCTGCCTGGTTGTCTTTTGTGCCTATGCACATCTATCTGTACTTGTAAATATCTATCAGCATATCTACCTGTATGTATGTCTGCCATCAGCCTGTCTGTCTGGTTATCTGCATGTCTGCTATCTAAATATTTATCTATTAGTGCCACTATTCATATATCTGTCTTTCCATTTGTTGGTCTGTCTGTCAAATTGCCTGTCTCCATGCCTGTCTGGCATTTCAGTTTAACCCCCCCCCCCCCACCTTTCCCCCGTACTTCTGTGACTGGGTGTTACCGTTAGAAAGCCTTCTTCATGCTAAATAAGTTTTTTTCATATTTTGCCACTGCATCTCTCACATTTCTTTTGCGTCTTTGTTTGTGTTATTCACTGAAAGGGTTATATATAAGGAAGACTGAATAGTGGTAGTAGTAGTAGTAAACTTTCTACCCCACCAGGACATCAAACAAGCGATAAACACCCAATGACACAAAGTGCCACCAATGCGGATGAGGATCACCGTGGAGGGGTCCCAGAAATCGCGTTCAGCCAATAGACCGTATTTATGGGCGGGCTATATTGCGACACCAGGCAAGTGCTAGAGTAGGGCTTCAAGTAACGAAAAAATTGCATGTCACATGGAGATGACTGTACTGAACTGGAAGACTGAATGACTGACTTTCTACCCCACCAGGACATCACACACTCGCGATAAACACCCGATGACACAATGTGCCACCATGTGGGTGAGGATTACCGAAGAGAGGTCCCAGAAACCGCGTTCAGCCATTAGACCATATTTATGGCCGGGCTATATTGCGGCCCCTGGCTCCAAATAACGAAAAATTTCATCCTAAAAGGGACGGGAAGTGATAACAAGACTGAATTAGTGGACGAAAGAGTAAACGGATAAATGAAGTAATCATGAACATAGACACAAAGAGAAAATAAAGAATAAAAATTAACGAAAGAACTAATGAATGAATGAATATACAAATATGAAAGGCACCTAAAAATAAAAGAACTAACCAAAAACGAACAAATGCTCAAATGAACATAGAAGAATAAGGCAAAAAGGAACTAACGAACTTATGAAGAAATAAATGTACACACACACACAAAAAAAAACGACGTGAAGCATAAAAACGATAAACAAACGAACATTTTAACGAAAAAAAAATGAATCTAGAAAAAAAAAGAGAAAACAACAATGAATGAACGAATAAATGAACATAGAAGCAAAGGGAAGCATATGGAACGAACGAACGAACCGACGATCAAACGAATGACCGTGTCAGTAGTGATAGATTTACAGTAGTCATCGTTGTCTGCCCCGGGACAGGCATATATTTACTCAACGAACAGAGAACACTGTTTTCGGCGGTAATTTCCCCTGTTAACCATTGCAGCCATTGTAAACGTGTCTCACGCACGCATGCGCACCGCCCCTCCCCCACACCACGCCCCACACCCACAGACATAATATAAGTAAGTGTGTAGTAAGATAGACAGGTAAATAGTTCGTTATAAAAAAAAAATAGTATGTTATGAAGCAATTCTTTTTGAGACGGACGAAAGACGTAAACCGATTCTAACAATTAGATATAGACAGTCTTTTTGTGTATGTGTGTGTGTGTGTGTGTGTGTGTGTGTGTGTGCGGACATGTTATGAAATGGAATGGACTTAAACATTTGGTAACAGCTGGCAAGACTGATGGAAAGAGTGCAAGAGGGCGACAAAGAGATAAATACCTTGTTGCATTGGCCACGTAGATAGGGCGAGACAGGAACGTTGACATAATCCTTGATTCTGGTAATCGAGTGAGAAAGCGAATCATGACAGCGTACGTTTTACCATCACGGTACATGATATTGCTGCTGATGAAATATTTAATTGGGTTGACAGCAGAGAGACAGACAGACAGAGACGTAGGTAGGAAGGTAGGCAAGTCCTTTATAGTCTTGTTCTTGACTGACTGAATTGTGAAGCCGCAGTTTTTTTTTAAACATTTAAAGGCATCCAGCCTCATACCCAAGCCTCGGCCCCCAGCCTCATGCCCAAGCCTCGGTCCCAGCCTCACGACCAAGCCTCGCCCCCCAGCCTCATGCCCAAGCCTCGGCCCCAGCCTCATGACCAAGCCTCGGTCCCCAGCCTCATACCCAAGCCTCAGCTCCCAGCCTCGTGCCCAAGCCTTGGCACCCCAGTCTCATGCCCAAGCCCCAACCCCCAGCCTCATGCTCATGTCTTGGCCCTAAGCCTCATGACCAAGCCTCGCCGCCCCCCAGCCTCATGCCCAAGCCCCCCCCCCCCCCCACCCATACCAAATGCAAGGTAGACAGCAGCCCATATTCTTTGTTCATCTATCCTGAAAACATGTACCAGTATGGATGTCCTGTGGAAGTAAAGGCTACTGGTGTAATGATGACCACATTACCCATATAGTACCGATTGGTCTGTAAAAATATAGGGTGCTCTTTCCAGCTACCCGATACGCTTAAGGCGTGAA